CTGACACAAGAACAGAAAATGAAACACCGCATATTCTCACTCATAGGTGGGTGATGAAAAATGAGAACACATGGACACAGAAAGGGGAGTACTAAACACTGGGGTCTATTGGGGGGAAAAGGGGAGGGCCAGTGGGAGGGGGAGGTGGGGAGGGATAGCCTGGGGAGAAATGCCAAATGTGGGTGAAGGGGAGAAGAAAAGCAAAGCACACTGCCATGTGTGTACCTACGCAACTGTCTTGCATGCTCTGCTCATGTACCCTAAAACCTAAAATCCATTAAAAAAAAAAAAAATTAAAGAAATTAAAAATAATAATAATAATAATATTTCAAGACCCTGACTCTTAAAAATAAATTAGCTAGGCATGACGGCATGCTCCTATACTCAGTCCTAGCTACTCAGGAGGCTGTGGTGGGAGGATTGCTTGAGCCCAGGAGTTTGAGGGTACAACGAGCTACGATTCTGCCAGGTATTTTACCTTGGGCAACAGAGCAAGACCCTGTCTCCCATATATATATATATGCAAACTATGAAGTCTCTTTCTCTCTCTCTATATATATATGTTTATGAAGAGACTCTCTCACTGTCTCTCTCTATATGTATATGAAGAGACTCTCTCTCTATATATATATGTATATGAAGAGACTCTCTTCATATACATATATATATATATATATAGAGAGAGAGAGAGAGAGTGACTTCAAAGCATAATATATAAGAAATGTCTAATTATTTGAAAGTATATTTGGAATGTTATTTTCTAAAAGAATCAACATAAAATGTTGGGTTTGTTTCCCAGTATAATTCAAAAGACTATTTGGTTCATAATGCATATTTAAATCCATAGCATATTTACAACAAAAATTTATTTAAAAGGACTACTGAAGAAACAATATTTTAAACAGCAAAACCATGTAATAACCATAAACTATTGTGAACACTGTTTTAATTTAAAAATAAGCAAGTAGAATAATTCTATTCAGTGGAGCTAAACCTTTGCTAAAAATTTCCAAGGAGTTTCTAAATTTCAGGGATTTGAAAGGCAAAAAGCACCAATTTTATTATGCCTAATATCAGATCAAAGTTTTTTTCCTTCTTGATACAGGTATTACACTGACACTAAATTCAAGCAGGCTTAGATTTTATTTCTTGGCCTGCAAATTTGCCTGTGTTCCATGTGAAAAGCAGCAGGGGATTTTTCTGCTGCTAGAGGTTACTAAGCCAAAGGAAGGAGGCTGGACATGATGGCTCATGCCTGTAATCTCAGCACTTATGGAGACTGTGGTGGACGGATCACCTAAGGTCAGGAGTTTGAGACTAGCCTGGCCAACATGGTGAAACTCTGTCTCTTCTAAAAATACAAAAATTGACGAGTTCACAGCTGAATTCTACCAAAGGCACAAAGAGGAGTTGGTTGCATTCCTTCTGAAACTATTCCAAGAGAATGGTAACCAAAGCCAAAATTGTCAAATGGAATCTAATTCAACTAAAGAGCTTCTGTACAGCAAAAGAAACTATCATGAAAGTGAACAGGCAACCTACAGAAGGGGAGAAAAATTTTGCAACCTACCTATCTGACAAAGGGCTAATATCCAGAAGCTACAAAGAACTTAAACAAATTTACAAGACAAAAATAAAAACCCCATCAGAAAGTGGGCAAAGGATATGAACAGACACTTCTCTAAAGGAGATATTTATGCAGCCAACAAACATGAAAAAAAAAGCTCATCATCACCAGTCACTAGAGAAATGCAAATCAAAACCACAATGAGATACCACCTCGTGCCAGTTAGATTGGCGATCATTAAAAAATCTGGAGATAACAAATAGTTGGAGAGGATGTGGAGAAACAGGAATGCTTTTACACTGTTGGTGGGAGTGTGAATTAGTTCAAACGTTGTGGAAGACAGTGTGGTGATTCCTAAAGAATCTAGAACTAGAAATACCATTTGACCCAGCAATCCCATTACTGGGTATATACCAAAAGGATTAATCATTCTATTATAAACATACACGCACCATATGTTTATTGCAGCACTGCTCACAACAGCAAAGACTTGGAACCAACCCAAATGCCCATCAATGATAGACTGGATAAGGAAAATGTGGCACATATACACCGTGAAATACTATGTAGCCATAAAAAAGGATGAGTTCATGTCCTTTGCAGGGACATGGATGAACCTAGAAACCATCATTCTCAGCAAACTAACATGAGAACAGAAAACCAAACACTGCATGTTCTCACTCATAAGTGGGAACTGAACAATGAGAACACATGGACACAGGGAGAGTAACATCACACACCGGGGTCTGTTGGGTGGTAGGGGGCTAGGGGAAGCATTAGGAGAAATACCTAACGAAGATGACGGAATGATAGATGCAGCAAACTACCACGGCACGTGTATAACTATGCACATTCTGCACATGTACCCCAGAACTTAAAAGCATAATAAAAAAAAAATAATAAGGTGAAAAAAAATACAAAAATTAGCTGAGCATGGTGGTGGGTACCTATAATCCCAGCTACTGGGGAAGCTGAGGCAGGAGAATCGCTTGAACTCAGGAGGCGGAGGTTGCAGTGAGCTAAGATTGCACCATTGCACTCCAGCCTGGGCCACAACAGTGAGACTCCATCTCAAAATAAATAAATAAACTAAATAACTAAATAAGATAGAGGAAGGAAATAATGATAGGAGGGTGGAGAAGGCTTCACTCTGTCAGGAATCATAGAGAAGTAAAGGTCCATAACAGTGACGAACTGAAGAAAGATATTGGATAAGCTCTTGGTGGCACCAATCCAGGATACTTTGATGGGCAGTGTGAAGGATGTATAAAGGGAAATTCCTCCGGGCCATAGGAGTAATGCTTTATAATGCACCCAGTTCAGATGATCCAATAGTATCCACTAACAATACATATAGGTCAATAATGAGGGTTTTTTTTTTCTTTTATAAAGAAGTATTCCTGTATCTTGGCAAAAAAGTTGATTTGCCATTTGGAGAAAATAATCACAACTTCATAGCATATGCTAACATAATTCAATATAATTAAAATTTAATGTAGGTAAATCATATGCTGCATTACTAGATGGCCTTAGATAAGCTGAGAAAAATTCATGTATCTTTCCCAAGATGAAAAGTTACAACTGCCCAGTCTCTGGCAAATTTTCAAGGACTAGCATTTTAAGTAAAATATTTGTTGATTTTTTCCTGGATAAAGTAACATGTTCACTGTAGAAAAACAGACCAATGTAAATTAAAAAGTTAAAATAATAATTGTCACCATTATTCACATTTGGATGCATTTCCTTCCAATCAACCCTCTCTGGCCTTTGATTATTACCATTAAAAAAAATTTCCTTAAAAAAGGGAAAAATACCTCATTATCTTAATTTCATTGTTTAATTACTAGTGATGGGCATTTTTAGGTATTTATGTTTGTTTCTTATTCTCTCTCCTAAAGATTGAAAGGGTGTTGGTAACCTTTGTCATTTAATATTCCAGTTCTCTTATCAACTGGTATGAGTAAATGAAAATTGTAATCTTTTGCCAGTCTCTCAGTTTGTTGCTTGTTTTCAATTTTGTCTGTTTGATATGACAGGGTCTCTTTTATTCTTATGTGATGCAAATTTACTAGTCTTTTTTGTTATTTTTATATTGCTTTTATTTTGGAGACAGAGTCTCACTCTGTCACCTGGACTGGAGTGCAGTGGCGTGATCTCAGCTCACTGCAAGCTTTGCCTCCCAGGTTCAAGTGATTCTCCTGCCTCAGCCTCTCAAGCAGCTGGAATTACAGGCATATGCCACCACGCGCAACTAATTTTTGTATTTTTAGTAGAGATGGGGTTTCACCATGTTTACCAGGCTGGCCTTAAACTCCTGACCTCAGGTGATCCACCCACCTCCACCTCCCAAAGTATTGGGATTATAGGTGTGAGTCACCATGCCTGGCCTACACTGCTTTTTATCTATGAAGGATGGCCAGGTGTGGGGATATTCTTACAATCTCAGCACTCTGGGGGCTAATGTTGGAGGATCGCTTGAAGCCAGGAGTTCAAGACCAGCCTGGGCAGAATGATACCCTATCTCCCTCACAGCCCGCTAAAAAGCCAGGCATGATAGCATGCACCAGCAGTCCTAGCTACTTGGGAGGCTGAGGAAGGAGGATTGCTTGAGCCCAAGAGTTCAAGGCTGCAATGAGCTATGATCTCACCACTACACTTCAGCCTAGGTGACAGAGCAAGACCCTTCCTCTAAACAAATAAACTATGAAAGACTCCAATCATCCAGAAATGTGGAAAATTAATTGACTTATGTTTTCCTGCTTGATTTTTAAAACATTAACTCCTTATTGCATCTAGTATTTTGGTACCTGGGTGAAAGTTACTGATTTTCCCCAAAATTGCAAATAAATTGTTTAGAACCATTTATTAAATATATGTATAGATTATTTAGTAGATGTTTCATTTGTTCTAAGTCAAAATTAAAACATATTTTACTCAAAGTACTATGCTCAATAACTGACCACTGCAAAAAATATTAAAAGCCTTTGCTGTAACTAATTTTTAAAGTGTGCCTATTTGCAGATTAAGATATAATCATGTATGGTATATTTCAAAAAACTAAGTAAATTTCAGTGATTAGCTTGATTTAATCATTCCACGTTGTACACATACACCAAAATATCACACTATACCCCATAAATGTATACAATTACAACTTGTCAATAAAAACTAATCTTAATACTTTAAAAACATTTTAAAAAGATGTATTAAATCCTTTTTCTGCAGACAAACAGGTCTAATCAAGCCTGAGTTTTGAGCTTTGACTCAGAAAGTAGGACCATATACCTCTTGATTTATCTCCATTAATTTTTCTTAAGCTTTATTGAAGCTCCAAATTACAGTCCAACTGCTCAGTACTAATCTTCTTGAGGTCAGTTTTATAATAATACTTACCAACAGAACATGAGGTCAGTTTTCAAACAATAATACTTACCAACAGCAAGGAGAAGAATGCTGGCTACAAAACAGCCTGCACCCACACTGAGGTAATAAACACCTACTCTCATTTCTGCTGGCCAAAGGGGGAAGAGGGTGGCCGCTATTACTGCAATCACTGGAACAAGAAATGACAAAGTTAAACTTTTAGAATAAAAATGTAAATGGCATGGCTGCAATTACAGTGAACATATCCCTGAGGGAAAAACTGAAAAACACAAACATATTAAAATATAAAATTGTCATTTTTATAGGTAAAAAATGGTAAATTATGAGCAATTTCATATTGTTCAACCTAACATTTTATACTGTTCTTTTTTTTTTTTTTTGAGACGGAGTTTCGCTCTTGTTACCCAGGCTGGAGTGGAGTGCAATGGCGCGATCTCAGCTCACTGCAACCTCCGCCTCCTGGGTTCAGGCAATTCTCCTGCCTCAGCCTCCTGAGTAGCTGGGATTACAGGCACGCACCACCATGCCCAGCTAATTTTTTGTATTTTTAGTAGAGACGGGGTTTCACCACATTGACCAGGATGGTCTCGATCTGTTGACCTCGTGATCCACCCGCCTCGGCCTCCCAAAGTGCTGGGGTTACAGGCTTGAGCCACCGCGCCCGGCCCATTTTATACTGTTCTTAAGCTAGTTTTTTTTTTAGTGTAAATTACATATTAGAAAAATAAGCTGTATAGAAATTCAAAACTGCTGCCTTCTTATCAACTGCTCCCATTTTCAAGCTATATCTACCTTATTTAAAAAATATTAAGATAAATGCCTACTAACTAAGGGAGCTAAAAGAAACAGTAGAATAACAAACCTAACAAAAACTGATTCCCACGACCCCCTCTCTGGAGATTCTTCTTTTCGGGTGGAGCTCTGACATCCACAAACTGAGAAAGATTCCCAGGTGATTCCACTACAGATGTTTTTTTGGTACTTAGGGAAACTGTTTGCAAGTATCTCCAGTTTTTTTGCAAGTAAAGTGAGGACACAAGAAAGAATTATAAGAAATTAGAAGGCTGGTTATTAGTTCTTTAGAGTAAGACCAGGGTTAAAATTTTAGCTCTATGACTTATAAGCTAAGTAACCCTAGGCAAGTTACTTAACTCTTGAAGGCTAAGTTACCTTATATTTAATAAGTGTCTGTTCCTATTTTTAAAAGGTTGTTGTGAGGATGAAATGATATACTGTATGCAAAATATCTAGCAAAGCCACTAGTACTCTATTATAAAAGAGTTATTTCGGTTTTTGTTTGTTTTTTGAAACAGGGTTTCACTCTGTCACCCAGGCTGGAGTACGGTGGCATGATCTAGGCTCACTACAGCCTCAACCTCCTGAACTTAGGTGATCCTCCCACCTCAGCATTCTAAGTAGTTGGGACTACAGGTGGGAACCTGTATGGGAACCACCAAGCCTGGCTAATTTTTTTTTATTTTTTGTAGAGACGAGGTTTAGCCCATGTTGCCCAGGCTGGTTTCGAGCTCTTGGACTCAAGCCATCTCCCTGTCTTGGCCTTCTAAAATGTTAGGATTACAGATGTAAGCCACTGAGCCCAGCCTAAAAGAGTTATTTTGAATGGGATCCTATGATATCATATTGACCAGGCTCTTTTTTACTACTATCTTTTTTTTTTTTTTTCAATTTGTTAAATAATTATTTCCCCACAAAACTCCTAGAACATACATCATTAAAAAAACAAATCAAAAACAAATCAACTGTAATCCCAGCACTTTGGGACAATCAGACAAATGCCCAGGAGTTCAAGACCAGCCTGGGCAACATGGTGAAACATCGTCTCTACAAAAATTAGCTGGGTGTGGTGGAGTGTGCCAATAGTTACAGCTATGCAGGAGGCTGATGTGGGAGGATCACCTGACCTCATCATTTTGAGGCTGCAGTGAGCCATGACTGTGCCACTGCATTCCAGCCTGGGTGACAGGAATGAGATCCTGTCACAAACAAACATATCAAAAGGTATAAAGAAAGTTAAATGTTCACCTAATTCTTATTCCACCTCCCAGAGGTTAAGTACCTGTGTTCTCAGAGACTGCCTACATGTAATTAACGAGCTACAGGAACTTTTTTCCTAAATAAATGTGCTTATACTATTCTTAATCTTCTCTAACTTTCTTTATTTTTATCTATTCTAGCTATAATACCCTTGCACAGGTACATTTGTGCAACTGTGATTACAGTATAAATGCCTTAAAGTGGAATTTATTAGGTCAAATGGTATAAGCATTTCAAATTTGAAAGATATCTGCTAGATTATACTCAAGTATAGTCTAAAGGGATATGGATAAAAACAGATAATGTGTCAATGCACACATTTTGTGAAACTGTATGGGAACAGCCATGGAATTATTTCCTAAAATTGCTGGGTCATTGTTAACACATATAAAATTTCAAAGATACTGACAAACTGTCCATCACAAAAACTAAAACAATGGACATAACCTGTCAATTGTTACAGAGTGTTGATTTTTTTCTAAGACCTTTATGTCAAGCTTTGCAAGCCTCTTAATCATTACAGCTTTACTTTGTACATATTATGAGTATGATTAAGTATCACTCAGAATGACTAGTCACTGCATTTCTTTATCTGTTAAATACCTTGACCATTTTTCTATCAGTTCGTTAATCTCTTAAAAGATCTTTGTATTAATGTGTTGCAAATATTTTCCTTATTTTATCATTTATCTTCTGACTTTATTTAAAGTATTTTTAAAATGACAACTATTTTATGTTAAATTTAGGAACACTTTCTTTTATAGTATCTGCATGTTGTTTTTTAAATCTTAGATTACACTTTAAAACTACTAACATCTCATTACTTACCAAGAATTAATCCCATGACAAATGTTTTAAAGTGAACTGGGTCATAGATCCATACATATACCTAGAAGAATCAAGAAACCTCAGTGCTTAAAAGTTTTAATGTCACATTAGAAAGTAATGCTTAATTCTGTATTTTAGGTCCCCTAAAGCAATCATCAACCTCTTAACATATGAGGAGTACCTTCTAAGGTAAATAAATTCCAAAGATCTTTCCTTTAGTAGTAGTGGTTTTTCTGGCACTAGAAAATCATTGTAAGAAAACTGTAAATTCTATAAAGCACTTAAGTAAATTTGTATGTTCATATACACACACACACACACACATATGAGATGGAGTCTTTCTCTGTTGCTCAGGCTGGAGTACAGTGGTATGATCATGGCTTACTATAGCCTCTGCCTCCTGGGTTCAAGCAATTCTCCTGCCTCAGCCTCCTGAATAGCTGGGAATACAGGCACATGCTACCACACCCAGTTAATTTTTGTATTTTTAGTAGAGACGGGGTTTCACCATGTTGGCCAAGATGGTCTTGATCTCCTGACCTTGTGATCCGCTTGCCTTGGCCTCCCAAAATGTTGGGATTACAGGTGTGAGCCACTGCACCTGGCCTGTTCTTACATACATTTAAAAATTTGTTTGGCCAGGCTCAGTGGCTCATGCTTGTAATCCCAGCACTTTGGGAGGCCGAGACAGATAGATCACTTGAGGTCAGGAGTTTGAGATCAGCCTGGCCAACATGGTGAAACACCGTCTCTACTAAAAATACAAAAATTAGCTGGGCATGGTAGTAGATGCCTGTAATCCCAGCTACTCAGGAGGCTGAGGCAGGAGAATTGCTTGAACCCAGGAGGTGGAGGTTGCAGTGAGCTGAGATCATGCCACTGTACTCCAGCGTGGGCGACAGAGCAAGACTCTTATCTTGGGGCGGCGGTGGGGGGTGGGGTGGGAAGAGTTGTTCATGTGTGCAAATCATTATTTATTCAACCAAAACACCAGCAATTGTCAACCTTTTTGTCCCTAATGTAATGATGAACCAGTTTGGGATAAAAGGCCTTATTACAGATCTAGTATCTCTCAACTCCACCCTTTTCTCTCCTGTTAAGACCCAAAGAATCATTATTAAAGATTATGCTTCGTCGAACATAAAGTTTCTATGACTGTAATAATTTCATCACCCACTACTCCATGGAGGGCCTGTAGTTTTTAAGCTGGGAACTGCTACTTGAAGGCTTAATTTACTCTTATCAGGCTATTATTTTGCACAAGAGAAATTTACTTCATTCAGATCAGAACTCTGTTTGATTATTCATCCACAAAACTTGGTTTTATTTCTTAGTTTCTATAAATAATAGTACTCTTCCATTTCTATATTGACCAGAACTCTTTCTTGTCTTTCCAACTTGGTTCTTCTATTTCTAACACCAGAGGTTTCCACTTCAACCTCTTATTTTTTATTCTGCTCATTTCCTTGGGAATCAGAGCCATAGACATTACTTCTGCCAGTTTCCATTCTAAAAAAACATGTTTTAAAAAAATATATTTCACAACTTTAAAAGTTTTGGAGTGCATGCTGCTTTCTACAGAATAAAATCTAGGTTTCTCAGGATAGCAAGCACCATACTTTTGCTCAGGCTGCTTCCTTCCCTAATAGACCTAAACTCCTTTTTGGTACACCTGGCAAGCTGCCAGTCATCCTTCAAGGTGAACCCCAAGTGTCCTTTTGACCCTTCTTATCCTTCCTGACTAAATTAACTATTCGTAATTGGTGCTCTCACACCATTAATGCTTACCACACTGTACTATACTAACATGTTTAAGGGCTTGTATCTTTGCTAGAGATTTTACCGTATTTATCAAGCTATTCCCAACACCTATAAAAGTGTCTGGCACATAGCTGTTGCTCAAGGTTTAACTGAGGGCATTGGAGCCTTCACATTAAGACAGTTTCCTATTACAGTGGTTCTTAACCAGGGGTTCACATCAGAGTCACCTGAGGACACTTTATTATAGATATATAATCCTCCTCCACAATCCCACTCTAGATATTATCATGCAAGTATGTTTGGGATAAGCCTAGAGCACATGTTTTTGAAAAGCTCTCCCAGAATGTAAAACACATACCCCTAGGAGCCACTACTTTATAGATGTTACTTTTGTATAAGTAAGGCATGAAAGGATATATCTTGAAATCCACAACAGTTCAAAGGCCAGTATATAACTAATGTTTATGTACTGATGAAGTCACTAAATCAAGCAGTCTTTATGGAAGGCTACCACCAGACACATCTTCCATTACAAATGATAAGTGCAAAGCATCAAGTACTGTTGAAAATTTTAAGCCCCTCAAGTGATATATCTGACTTATATTCTGTGAGACAGAGACCTGTAGTTCTCCTATAAAATAAAAACATCTCCTATTCTGTTCTTTTTCTTTGATAATAATGGAAACCCTACATTTTAGTTGGGCAAATAATCACCCTGTCTAAAAAGTGCATTTCCAAGATTTTACTTCTTGTATGCATGATCATGTGACTATGGTCCGGCCAATGGAACTCAAGCAGAAATGAAATTGCCAGCTTTCTGGACAGTTTCCTTAAAGTGGTCTCCTTAAAGAGGAGATATATTCTTCACTCTCCTTTTCTCTTTTCGATGTAGATATAAGGTTGGCAGTCATTTTGGACCATGAGGTAACCTTAGCTAGAAGTCTCAGACAGAGGAGAAAAGAAGAGCCTGGATCCATGATGGAGCTGACATATCTGTACAGCTTACCTACAGATTTCACTGATGAGGAAGAAATAAGCATCTATTTTATATTAAGATGCTTTTATTTCAGGTTTCCTATCACAGCCAACTCTGACTTTAAAACTCTGAATCAGAGAAACTATTGTTTTTTAAAAACAGAGCTGCTTTTATATATTTAAGTGCATGATTAGATTTCTCAAAATTTTTCCTTTTATTAGTGAAGGCATCAAACATATTTCTGAGAACTGCTATAGTAACTGAACTTCTAGTTATAGGCTTACTCTCACCTCATTTCCATCCAGAAAAACTTGCTCATCGTGTGGCTCAAGTTTGAATTTTTTCTTAGTTTCCTTCTTTTTGGGAGTTCCTGGAGTTTCCTCCTATGAAAACATAATTTGAATAGAATAAATAATACAAGCAAGCAAAAAATAGGACATTCATACAGTCAAAAAATTTTCACTATTTGTAACACAAAATAAAAATTCTCAACCATGTTATTTATAATAATCCTAACGTAGGTATCTCAAGTGAGTGTTGCATAACATTTAATGTGCTCATAAGCCAGTAGTGATCATGTGTACATAATGATTTTTAAATTTTTACTTAATTTTAGATTAATTCACCTTTTTGGATTCTTCCTTTTCACCATCTTTTTTTTTCTCTTTTTCTTTTTTTGTCTTCTCATCCTTTATATTTTCTTTCTTGCCCTTTTTATCTTCTTCTTTTCCACTTTCAGCTTTTCCTTTATCTTTTTCTTTCTTTATGTCTTTATCATATTTCATTTTCATTACTTTTAGGGCCCGATGAAAAAACTGCTTCTTTAAAAGCCTTAGGGAAAAACAGGTATGGCATTACAGTAACTCCCCATATAGACATAAACTAAAAAGGAAAAATACCAAGACCTGAAAAAAATAAGCAAAGGAAGAGACATATTGACAACTCACAAGAGAAATTACAACTAGTATGTATGCCCATGGAAAAGTAGTCAACTCTACCACTAAATCAAAAAACTTAATAGTCAATTATATAAAAGTTATCAAAACTCAGTGATAGTCAATATAATTTTCACTTTTAATGATGTAACAAGTATAAAAGAGATTATAGGTTTTAGATTATCCATATAAATACTCTTTCTGGGTTCATTTAGAGTAATCAAGACTCAGCTTCACTTTATGTTCATAATAAAGAAAGGAGAAAATAAACAGTTTAAGAAATGTTAACAGATCAAAACTAATGATTTGATTGATCCAAATAATGTCTTTTCAGCTTTCTTGGTGTTATTTTTTTCTCTAAGTACTTCACAATTCAGTCTGCCACTGTAATGGAATATCTTCAATTAAGTAATGAATAATTAAATACACTAAGGTAAGATTTTTGGACTCTGAAAAGGACTTGCCCAACATCAAACAGAAAAATGTGCAATATATTTGGCAAAACATGATGTATTCCTAGTTTCACTAATTTCTCTTTAAATATATTGTTTTTCCCTCTTTTTAGCAGTTATTATTCCATTTTATATTCTCATCTTAGGGCCTACACATTGGCTGTCTTTACTTTAGACATGCTCTTTCCCCAAATAAGCATGTCCTTTTGTTTCACTCCCTCACTTCCTTCATCAAGTTTTCCCTCAACCACAACCTACTGTTTAAAATCTAAGCCCACTTCCCATTCTCTCGTTTCCTGTTATCCTATCCATAGCACTTATCTTCTAACTCACTATATAATTTGTTACAGTTGTTTGCTCCTTACTAGACTAAACTTCAGAGAGAGAGATCTTTGCTTTATTCATTTTTTATCTGACCCCAAATTAAGTCAACCTTGCTTGGCAGTTTCTCTTTAACCTTATAATCTTATTTAAGAAATTGGGTTGCCCTTATTTTTGTCATCTAAATGACACTTTTTCAGAATTCCTGATTGGTTTCTTCACTTCTGCCTTGATAATGTACAACTACGACCACACAGTCTAGAAGCTGCGTCTCACTGCTACCACTGGTGCCTGCTAATGGTGACTATCTAGCTACCTTTCTACTCACACCTCACTGGTGCCTGCTAATGGTGACTATCTAGCTACCTTTCTACTCACACCTCGCTGGTGCCTGCTCCAGCACATCACACCACTTGTTAACTAGATACTTTCTTCCTGCCCAGACAACCACTTCTTTTTGTCATTGTGTTCAGTCCCTTGCAGCACCTGTATTTTACCTGCCTGGTTGGGCTTCTATCTGCTGCCCAATTAGGTCCAGCTTATGAGCACTTCCACAAAGCTGATTTCTAGGTTTCCTCATTTGGCCCATATTACCTATTTATAAGACCTATTTCTAAATTATGCAAATATGCCTGTGCATATAATTGTGCATATAATGTTCAAACTGCCCCCCCAAAATACTACCATCACATCTGCTATAAATACATATACATATATAAACTAACAAAAATCTGAAATGAGAGCTTAATGATTAACTACTTATGAGTACAAAGTGGGATTTAAGAATATCAGTGGGATATTTGAATATGAAGTACAATCTTATAGTTTTTACTCTTCTTCAGAATGTCTTACAAAAAAAGCTATAATGAAAACAACATTCTAATTTTCTTTGTGCACTTATGTAATTTCCAGATTTTCTATCAGAAACATTACCACTCAAAATGAAAATAAAAATATACCCTGTTCATCATGTTAACTGAAAACCCAGCGTTTTAAAATGCAGTACATATACATGTCCATATATTAAGAGTACATGTGTACACGTACAGACACTTGAAGTATCTAGTCTCATGATAATGTGGCTACCTATGAAGCAACAGTATTAGTAATTTGGATTTTCTCCTAAATCATTTGCAATATTTTCCATTTTCTCAAATTTACTTTAATGGAAAAAATTATTCTTAATAAAGAAATAATTTTAAAACAAACCATGAAACTTTAGTAGAAAAAAAGCCTTTTCCCTGATGAGCAGATACAAAGAAAGGAATAGAACCAGCAGAATCATCTGCTTCTGTCAACTTTCCTACACAGCTGCCCAACCTCATGAAAGAAAAGTAGACTATTACTTTCAATCAAATTGGTGTTGAAAATAATTTCACAGTTAGGTAGAAAGATGAGACTGACATTATTTAAAATTTGTATAATATCAGAGCTTCCATTTGCCTGGCTTTAAACACATGATATAGAACACATTACTAACATAAAGATGTCTGACATTTTCACAGAACTACTCATACTTTCCTCTGTCCGTGTGTTCTATGCCCTTCGCTTGGAATGAATTTCCTTTCTTCTCTTGTTTTTTGGGTAATCACTTATTTAGGTTTCAAAATGTACCTAAAACATTTTTCTGTGTGGAGTCATTCTTAGTTTCACCACCTCTCTCTTCCTTATAGAACACACTGCATTGCAATTAGTTATGAATCTTCCATAAAAGATCAGAATATGTGTTTTGATGTAGAGACCAAGTGATAGTCACTGTTGTACTCCTGGAGCCTGGCATATGTTGAATAAGTGGTTTTAAAACCTTGTAAAAAGTTTTAAAAATTGCTTCTGCATTTTTTTCCCTCACCTCCATCATTTTTCAGATTTAACAAACATGTATTAAATCCCAGACATGTTGGGGACTTTCGCCAATGTGGCAAAGGTGAGTTTTTATGAAGTGCTCACACTGTGGTAACTGTTATGGAGTTACAATAAACTATAAAACAGCCTTACAATTGTTTTCAGATTTAGCTGGCAAAAGATTTTTTAAAAACTAACACATATGCAGCAATTCTAAAATAATTAAGGGCCAAACTGGGAGATACTAACTTGATAAACTCAAAGGCTGATGAAGGCTGGAGGGCCTGGGGAATAGTACATGGTAGAGGAAGGACTTGAGGGATTTGTGATATTGAGAGGCAGGTGGGACAGAGGGAAGAGAACCATTTAGGGAAAGTAGCAAGTTATGATAGAAAAAAAGACCAGAAGAGAAAATGAGTGTGGCATGTGCACAAGACTGAGGACGACGGAACTGGACTGGGGGGTCAGTGATATAAAGCCTTGTGGAGACTTAACCTAGTATGTATGAGTTCATTCATGATACAGGTCATAAAAAGGTACAGATCACATTAGAAAAGACTGTGTTATCATCCTGCATTTTGTTATTTTGCTTTTCTTCAGACTGCCTCATGCCACTTAGCTGCTTCAGAAACAAACTGACTGACAGTATTAGAGGATGCCAAAAAAAGAAACTGGACAAGGATCCCTTTGTGATTTTGTCTGCTACTGGGCAGGAACTCATGAAGACTGGCCAACAAGATTCTATGGTTGTACTGGAAGTGGCTCTGCAGACCTTAAAGTTATGCTACTGTCATTTATTTTAGTGCAGAAAGGACTCAAACAATCTGACATCGATGGGAAGAGCACCTACAATGAAAACTGAGTGTGTCTTTGGACCCTCTCTGTACTCAGGTCTTTTGAGTTTTTCTATTTGAAAAGGTACCAAGGCTCCTCAAAAGTCAAGAAATGTGGATTCATACTGGCTGCTCTCCTCAGAAGTTTGGGTTCACAGATTTAATATCCCAAAAAATAGCTCCATTAAATGCATTAACATTTTGATGGAGGAGACAGTATAGAGCAGTATTTGAGAACACAGATTATGGAGACAGGCTGCTAGCTTTAGAGTCCTCCTAGATCTGCCACTTACTAGCTGTGTAGTCTTAGACAAAGTACTTAAGTATTCTATGCCCAGTTTCTGCATTTGCAGCATCTCTTAATTTTTACACCACATGTAAAAAATATATCTGTTTTGTGGCAGGTAAGGAAGTTTTTTTTTGTTTTTTTTTTTTAAGAGACAGTCTTGCTCTGTAGCCTAGGCTGGAGTGCAGTGGCGAGATCTTGGCTCACTAAAACCTCCACATCCCGAGTCCTGGTTCAAGCAATTGTCTTCCCTCATTCTCCCGAGTAGCTGGGATTATAGGAACGTGCCACCATGCCTAGCTAATGTTTGTATTTTTAGTAGAGATGGAGTTTCACTATGTTGGCCAGACTGGTCTTGAACTCCTGACTTCATGATCCACCTGCCTCGGCCTCTCAATTAGTTTTGTTTTTAAGGCAGAGTCTTGCTTCATCACCCAGGCTGGAGTGCAGTGGTGCATCTTGGCTCATTGCAACCTCTGCCTCCAGGGTTGAAGCTCTTCTCATGCCTCAGCCTCCCAAGTAGCTGGAATTACAGGCACATGCCACCATGCCTGACTAATTTTTATATTTTTAGTAGAGATGTGTTTCGCTATGTTGGCCAGGCTGGTCTTGAACTCCTGGCCTCAACTGATCTGCCCACCTTGGCCTCTCTCAAAGTGCTAGGATTATAGGCATGAGCCACTGTGCCCAGCCTGGAAGTCTGTACTTTGGAGCTAATTCTATTAGCTTTTTATTTTTTCTCCAGAAGCACAAATTCAAGTTGCCCTGGATATATGCTCCCTGGAGCTAATTCTAACTAGATAAATTGCTATAAAAGAGAAGTAAATATCAATTGCATCAGTGTTAGCTTGTCCTTGCCCCAATAATAAAACCTATTTTTTCTAAAAGGTCTGTCAGTAACTTCTAGTCTTTGGCAACTAAAAATTTAAAGAAATGTTTAATAATTCTTTAACTTGACAGCTTAAGAAACCAGGTTGTGAAATACTGCTTTTTTTTTTGTTTTTTTTTTTTTTGAGACGGAGTTTTGCTCTTGTTACCCAGGTTGGAGTGCAATGGTGCAATCTTGGCTCACCACAACCTCCGCCTCCTGGGTTCAGGCAATTCTCCTGCCTCAGCCTCCTGAGTAGCTGGGATTACAGGCACGCACCACCATGCCCAGCTAATTTTTTGTATTTTTAGTAGAGACGGGGTTTCACCATGTTGACCAGGATGGTCTCGATCTGTTGACCTCGCGATCCACCCTCCTCGGCCTCCCAAAGTGCTGGGATTACAGGCGTGAGCCACTGCGCCCGGCCGAAATACTGGTTTTTAAGAGGGTTCTTAGGTAGCTGATACTTTAAGTGCCATTAGATAAAATATTATTACACATAAAATAATCTAAAAATCCTCAGAGATAAGCTTTAGTATTATGAAAACAAAATTTAGTTAACATATATTAAGAAAATGCTTAATATTAAGAAAGCCAAGAAAAAAAAGAAAAAGGAAAGAAAAACCAGCATACTTCTTTCCAAAAGGAAGATGATTTTGTCTTTTAGGTAAACCACTCACTATCAAAAGTTTTTTCAAAACAGAAAAAGTATCTATTATGAAAAAATATGTATATTACTTAATTAGCTGTATTTCATCTTGAAATTCTCAGAAAAAGACAAGGTAGATATTGTAGCTGCCTTGATTTTAGAAGAAATACATTAACAAACACTAAACTAAATAGGAAAGGGTATGTGGCTTATGGCTCAGAGTGTAGGCACTAAAAAAACAGCAGTAACACAGCTAATAGGAATCCCTGCAAAAGTTTTGAAAAAAACACTACCCAACCAATTTGCTCTACAAAGAAAGAACTTTCTTTTCTACTGTAGGCACTGGTATATAATGTTTATTGTTAACCCTTCAGTAGGCCTGACAAATATAAAAGTAATGGAACATAAATAAAAATTATATACAGTTAAAAGTGTAATAGTCTAATACCAAACACATTTCCAGAGGTACCAAAGAAATACAGGTTACATGTGAAAACTATATTTGGGTTATGTTGTAGTATCACTACATTTAATGATGTAAGGAGTTTTAGGACTATGGAGAAAATTTACAATTATTATGTTTTTCCTCTCTAAGAAATAAACAGTACCTACCTGTTGCAGTAGTCAACCACGGACTCCCTGGTTGTAAATAAAGCTTCCTCTCCTTTCTTGGCCTTTGCCCACTTTGAATCCAAAAGACAATCCACTGCTTTTGAAGCTAAAGAAGAAATCAATTATTTTAAATTTAGTATACATGGGAATTTAATTTTATAAACTGAAATTTCAACATTCTGGCAACAAAAAAGAAAACCAAACTCAACAGAAAATTAAATCTAACATGATCATGATTAATAGTTCTCCAAAACTTCAATTTGTGAAACATCTTAAGTAACTTTGAAAAGTCATGTTGGGAAATAATGGCATTCAGATATACCAAGTAAAGCAAGATGAACTGATAGAAAAATATTCAAAAATTTTAAATATCTGTATGTAACTATCACTCTTATTAATTACAAGCATATGTAGATAAAAAACCAAAATGTTTGCCCCTCCCTGCAAGTAATAAAACTTCTCATCAAGTTTTACTCTAATAAACTGAGAAATAAGGTCTGTGAACAATCTACTGCTGTCAAAAGAAACAGCTAAATATGTTATATCTGAAGAAATTAGCATATCTATTTTTTAAAACGTGTAATGAATGTCAAAATCAATAACACTAAAGGAAGACAAGATAAAGGAATTTTCTTCTTTACTGGCAATTTAGTTTAGTTTAGTTTTTTCGAAGAGACAGGTTCTTGCTCTGTCACCCAGGCTGGAGAGTACAGTGGTGGGATCATAGCTAACTACAGCCTCTAACGCCTGGGCTCAAGCCATCATCTCACTTCAGAGACACATGCCAACATATTCATCTCAATTTATGTAGAGATGGGGGGTCTCTCTGTGTTGCACAGACTGGTCTTGAACTCCTCACCTCAAGCAATCTTCCTGACTTTGCTTCCCAAAGTGTTGAGACTGTAGGTGTGAGCCACAGCACCCAGCTGCAATTCACTTTTAATTGCTGAGAAAGGCAAACTCAACCTCTATTTATAAGCTCCGGTGCTATAATATAAATGACATCAGCTTATAATGACATTGTTTGGAAAAAGGAAGCCAAAGCTCTTAGTTCCATGTATGTGTACTAGCTGAACAAAAGGTAGTATTTTAAAACACTGAAAATAAATCCTATTTTAAAAAGTTTCCAACAATTGTTATTAGAAAATACTTTATCTTCTTATTATAGACATTTTCAATCACAATAGGAAAGAACAGAATAATCAACCGCCATATGCCCATCACCAGAACAATCACATTTGGAAAGCATTTTTAAAACTTCTACATATCCCAAAAGTAGGTTAACTTTATAAGATATGTACACTAATATGATTTTATTGATATAATCCTACCAATAAAATAATCAACCCGGTGACCCATCATATTGGTGGATTTTGTTGGACAGTTGAATCGAAGATACTTGGCTACAGCCTTCTCTTCTTTAGATGGTTCACCAACTTCCTGCAACATATGAATATTAACTTAGTATAATCATCGACTTTAGAAATTCATGCACTGAAGAATAATTTACAAATCTATTTTATGAATCTTTTTAAGTGGAGTACAGGCCTTACTTTCAAGCTTTCTCTGAAGTAGACCTGGTAATGTATTCAAAAGATAAATGGAGACTTAAAAACCTATGCTTATTAGTTGGTAGAGGCAAAGCCTATCTGTTTCTTGGCTTCAACTATGAGCCATTTGAGTTTGAGTTGTTTCTTCTACTATAAACTACTTTGTACCAGTTCTTTTTTTTTTTTTTGAGATGGAGTCTTGCTCTGTCACTCAGGCTAGAGGGCAATGGTGCAATCTCTGTTCACTGTCTGCTTTGGCCTCCCAAAGTGCTGGGATTATGGGCATGAGCCGCCTCGGCTAGCCTATAGTCTCTTTTTATAAGCCACAAACCAGTAATTAAAAAGATAAGATGTTGCCAATAGTGAGTAACCACATGTAAGTAGAAACAAGTGTCAAAAATAAATGTTAAAATAACAGCCAAAGGTATGTATCCTGAACAATGGATAGTAGATCACAGGAGGAGTTCTCAAATTAATCAATGATATTTGCCCCAATGTAATAGCCATAAGAGCTACTGAGACACTGACAATCTGTACTTTCTCTCCTTTCCTCTTGTGGTTGCAGATACCAGACACTCCTGGGACTTTCTCATCTTCTCTTCTCCAGTAAGGGTGAGGCAAAAATAAAAAACGCAGAAAGAGATGTTACTATCTCATTTGAAGAGGTGATTAACAGAAGTGTGCTGACAGAGTCGTTTTGGAAAAGCTGTTTTAATCTTTCTCTGCTTTCTTTCTTCTATACTTTTTCTCAAATTTTCTATTACTTTCTTCATTGTTTCTCATTCCCCATCTTCCCTCTATTCCCTTTCATTCGGAACTCCTTTAATTTGACGACTTCTCCTGTGTACTTATTTTCCCTACCCACGTACTGAAGAAAATGAAGGCAGTCTGTTTGTATTCATCTTATGTATAAACTTTCAAAAGTTGTCTTATTGCTGTAAGCTACTGAACAAATGGACTGAACTTAATTACTGTCTTTAATGACATGCTGAAGCACAATACACAGAACATTCAATATTTCCAGCGACAAGTAAAAATGTGAATGATTTTAGGAAGGTCTATTTCTTTAAGAACAAAATGCCAAGTAATAGTACAAAATTATCTGCCAAGAATCTAAGATGCTAAGAATTAATGCTAAAGACAGTTGTTTCAAGTAAAAAAATTCTAAAAAAGCAAAATAGAAAAAAAAAAAAATCTACCTAATTTATCTATTTTTATGTCAGATTTTCCCAAAGTTCAGATAAGCCTGAATTCAGTTATGTTTCAAGAAAATAAAGAACCAACAAACCTAGGTTTCAGCTTTAACTTTATCCTGAAAAGGAGTAATTTGTTAGATGAAGTGATAGTTTGTGTTTTGGTTGAGTCTCCTGGCAGCTACATCGTTCATTTTTTCCTTTGTATTTCCCAAGTCTTCTACTTCCAGTAGCCCAATCACCAGTGCGAGATCAGTGTATCCTACAGTCTGCAACTACCAGCTGTGGGCTATTTGTGGCAGTAAAAATTAAAAGCCCAAACCACACAACCCAAAAGACTACTATAAAAACCAAGTATTTATGAAATTAAAACTTTCATATATAAAAATATGTATCACAAAAAGTAGAATCTTTTTTTTTTTTTTTTTTGAGATGGAATCTTGCTCTGTTGTGCAGGCTGGAGTGCAATGGTGCAATTTCAACTCACTGCAACCTTCACCTCCCAGGTTCAAGTGATTCTCCTGCCTTAGCCTCTCAAATAGCTGGGATTACAGGCGCCCGCCACCATGCCTGGCTAATTTTTTGTAGAGACAGGGTTTCACCATGTTGGCCAGGCTGGTCTCAAACTCCTGACCTCACGTAATCTACCAGCCTTGGCCTCCCAAAGTGCTGGGATTACAGATGTGAGCCACCATGTCTGGCCAAAAAGTAGAATCTTAAAAAACGGCAAATTCAAAATTTAACACTCCAACTTCAGGAACAGTTACAAGATTCATAATGATTTATTTGAGGCCTGACTAAAAAATATACTTAGACATAATAAAAGGCAAAAATTCCTTATTAAAATTTTTGCAACCATGCTAAAATATATTAATATATGTTGGTATCAGGTATATTAAATAATAGTATTTAATTATGTTTGTAAAATACACTACACTTCTCAGAGCCTCAATCAGTAAATAATATTATATGTATCCATACATCTGAAAAATACTATAAAAGTTGAAAATAATACTATAAATGGTTTACAGAAACCAATTCTATTATATAATCACATCATACATGCTCAGTTTTTTCCTCATCTGATAAATCTGTTGTCAATTTAAAGTTTACCTAATTAACTGATAACTTGTTACTGGGAGGCGCTTGATTAAAAATTGTGGGGGAGAAGTCAGAATAAACACGACCTGTTCATTCAGACTTACAGAGTGCTTACCCTATCACCTTTGGGTGCTACAGTTAACAGCGAAGATTTGTAAGGCATGATATGTATACTCTGTTATGTAACTATTAAAAGCAGTAATAATTTCCCAATAAGAGGGGCAGAAAAAATATTCTTGAAATACGCAAAGTAGGACAGGTTGAGTGGCTCATGCCTGTAATCCGAGTATTTTGGGAGGCTGAGGCAGGCAGACTGTTTCAGCCCAGGAGTTCAAGACCAGCCTGGGCAACATGGTAAGATTCCTTCTCTACAAATAAAAAAAAAAAAAAAAGAAAGAAAGAAAGAAAAAGAAAAATTAGCTGGGCGTGGTGGTGTACATCTGTAGTTCCAGCTGCTCAGGAGGCTTGAGGCAAGAGGACCACCCGAGCCCTGGGAGGTTGAGGCTGCAGTAAACCGAGATCACAACACTGCACTCTAGCCTGGACAACAAGGTGAAAGCACATGAAATTGAGGTGAGATTATCAATGTGGATGGGAACATTGGAAGAGGAAGCTGAATTTTGAAAGATGAACAAGTTTTGGGTAAATTGATTGAAAAGCCATAAATACTGTGGCTGAGAATGACACAAAATTTGGCTTCAGTATAGAAGCAAGTTAGGAACTACCCGGAGGTTAAGTGTGTAAAAGAAGACTAAAGAGCCATCAAGGTAGGCTGGGAAATTTCTATTTATCCTGTAAGCAGCAGAAAAACCACTAGCAGTTTTTGAATAGGACATAATTAGAAAAATAATTTAGACAAGATTTTGGTGGCTGTGTGTAGGATGAATTGGAAAAAATGCATAAGGCAGAAATGGATGGAAGACTGCTGTAATATTCAAGTAAGTTGTGGTGTGATACTGGACTATAAATGGGAAAAAAATTTAGATATTTGAAACCTTTCAAATGTAGAACAGATATAACTCAATGATAAAGTATGAATGGAATGGCTAGGTAAAGATGTCAGATTTCTAACTTTATCAGCAGAAAGGAAATTTGGGAGGAAGGTGCTTGTAGAGAATGACCATATCAAATTTGGGCATGATACATATATACAGATACTATTACTCAATTATAACATTCCTGAACACAGACATAAATGTACTAATCTACTGACTGCTGACAGAGCGATTACACGTAAACCCTTATTAAATATTAGGATACATAAAAAATTGGGAAGTTATATATATTATGCAATAGAGAATCTGATATGGTATGTATGCACAAAATTTAAAAATCTCATTTTAACAATTAATTTCAAGGTCACCAAACTATTCCAAAACTGCATCCTTTCCTTTGTAAAGGCACTACCAAGTGGCAATGAAAGGAAGAGATCCAGAAAACATGGACCTGGATAATCTCTCTCAACTAGATACAGGATTAACTTGTTTACTGATACTTTCTTAAAGTATTGCAATTTATTAACTTATAATAAGTTACCATATTGTAGACTCCCTTTAATGCAACAAGGTAATTTGTGCTATTGCTTGGGCTTTGAAGCCAGAAAGATAGATTGCTATAGAAGAGTACCATGAGAGGCAGGGTTCATTGACTCATGCCTGTAATCCCCACCACTTTGGGAGGCCAAGGTGGATCACCTGAGACCAGGAGTTAAAGACCAGACTGGGTAACAAAGTGAGACTCCACCTCTACAAAAAATTTTTAAAAATTAGCTAGATGAGGTGGTGCACACCTGTGGTCCCAGCTAGTTGGGAGGTTGAGGCCAGAGGACCACTTGAGCCCAGGTGTTTGAGGCTGTAGTGAGCTATGATGCCATCACTGTATTGCAGCCTGGGCACCAGAGTGAGACCTTGTCACTTAAAAAAAAAAAATACCATGAGAACATGAACAGATAGTTGGAATTATAAGAACAAGCCATCACATCCAACGTGCATAGTTTTCACTTTTACTGCTCCTCTTCTTTCTGTTTATACATTGGACTGCAGTACCTCCCCTCTTTGTTCTCTTTTGATGTGAACAGAATATTTTTTATAACTTTTCTAGAAGACTTCTAACAAAATAAAGGCCTTTTGGGAATAGCAGCACCCACTAATAAAGAGAAACCAACCCATCAATCTTCTAACAAATGGAGAGAACTTCTTAGTTCAATGAATGAGCACAACTGTCTTAAAATAAGGATGCTAAGAGCCACTAAATTTAGGCTGGACTGCTTTTCCTTTCTTTGCACCCAATACCAATGCACTGGGCTTACAATTCAAAATTGTTTATATTGGAAATTTGGTTAGAACACTCATAAAATTATTTAACAAATACGATTTTTACTGTAGCCTACATCAACACTCATATACTATAATAAAACAGAAGTTGCCATTTCTAAGTTATTTTAGCCAACATTTAACCTTTTTGAGAAAAAAATACTACATCAAGAGTAAGTATGCCATGGGCCTCAATCTTACAGAACTTATGATACAGAGGAACTTTTAAAAATTACTACAGCCAATTAAAATGAGCTTAGTTGGTCTGTCAACGATGAACTGAGCAAAAAAGAAAAAGGCTTGGTTCAAGCAGTATAAAATATTTGTGAAAATGCACATAGTAGGTTAACAGTAAAATCTGAAAGCTGGAGGGGACCTCAATCATTAGTAACACAGTGTGCTACAAATAAAGCTTGACAAGAGTATCTAGACAACAGCAGTGCCCTTCTGTAATACCTCCAACTCTCTTCTTCTGTACTTTCCTTAGCAATGGGTTTGCTAAACTGCAAAGCCCTCCATTAAGCCACTGGGGGGAGTTTTCTGATTTAGGGCTGGCTTCCTAGGTTCTTTCTCTTTTCTTCAGAATATTCTGAGTGAGACCTCAGACCTGTATAGTCTGGCTATATCGTCCTAAATTTTCTCTTTTCCTCCTTTTCCTGAAATTAAGCACATAAGCCCATGATATGTCAAGGTTTTATTGCCTGCCAGGAAGACAGATGGGTGCAACAAAAATAACTAATGGAGGGTTATGAAAGTTGTAAGAATTAGCCATTTAAATGTCTCAAAACTCAACTGGATATTTTACATATAAGCAGAATACTGAATGGGATGATTCTCTTTAGCAGGGAGAAGTCACATCAGGTCTTTATGTTGTACAATTCAATATAAAGACATTAGGATTAAGGTATTTCCGAGCAACTTATTTTTTATCTATTGTGAGATGGAAAGAGTATTCAATTGGGAATTAGAAGACCTGGTCTAAATCTGGCTTTACTATCTTGATTGATGATCCTAGATTAAGTCAAAAAACCTCACTGGACCTCAGTTTATCTGAAAAACAAGGGTGTTGGGTGAGATCAGTAAGCTGCAGAATCACCACTCTGCTTTCATGTAAGGCTGAATCTGTGAAAAGGGGTTCCAAACAAACCCTACTAGATCCTTTTTAACTCTAAAATTTCTTGATACCAGGATTGTAAATCAGCTTCTAGTATGCAGCAGCACACTGTTAACCTATTTGTAGTTACTGTATGAGTACATGTAGCTCACTTCTGGTTTTCAGTGACCAGTAATGTGAGTCCAGGAAAGAAATGTGACAATAGTTCTCTTACTTGAAACTTTGATGGGACACGAGAATCTAAAATTACACTGAATTACACAGAAAAAGCAAATAAATTAGCTACTTTTGTTTAACCCTGAACTTATTTGTTTGTATCAAACATTTCTCCCTAATGTGCCCACTACAATTAAAGATCACTGAATCTATTAAACATAAACATCTTTCTAAACATAAAACATCAAGTAACAAATGATCGAAACTCAGTTGGTATTATAGACCTTTTGCCTAAAGAATTCTACAACAGGATCATTTTTGTAAATTAAACTCTGAACTTTTCATTACATTTGATCTTTTTATCACAAGTGATGTATTATAGAGTTTCTGATTATCTGGAATGACAAACCTGAGTTACTTTCTAGGTTAGTATATTTTCATAATTGTGTTAGGCTGCAGACAAGTAGTACTCTAAGATCTCCCACAAACATTTTACACAGCCATGCAGAAAATTTCAAGGACAGGAAAATAAATGTCATTTAATTTTGCAGTATGCCAAGTAGATTTTTAATAATCAATCTTCAAATAATAGAAAGTAAATCACTATACGCTCCCTAACTCCCAACCTAATAGATTATTTACTGAATACAGAGCTGTTAATCTTTCTTCTGCATATCAAAGAGTGCCTAACAAAAACCAAAATAACAACCCAACCTAAATCCTTGATCCTGGGTAAGGAGTAGAATAGAAGGGAGGGGTTACATGCCAAACACTTTTAATAACTTCTAATAAATAAGTTGACTCACCTATTATTTTCACATCAACCTTATGAATTTTTTTCCTTTTTTTTTGAGGTAAATATCCCTTCTCACAGATGCAGAAATTGAGGTAAAAATTAACTTGCTCAAAGTTACTGAGCCAATAATTGGTGGAGGCAGGGTACAAACAGGCAGTCTGGCTCAAGTTTTAGCTCTCTGCCACTGTCACTATATCACTCCACTGCTTCTGTTTAACGTAAGATCACAACTAAAACAAGAGCAGCTATTCAAAAGGTGAATTATATAACCCTTACAACAATATTAAAGAGCAAGTGAAATTGTAAAACAATGTGTATTAAAGGGCATAAAATCGTACTGTCAAGTGCAAACCTAAGGAGTTTCAGTAAGTACAAATCTGACAATTTCAATATACAATCTAATAAAATATTGTATGCCCATGTCAGAGGAGTAACACTAAGTCCTGAAAGATTAAGAACAGTATAATTAGAAACTTCTACTTATCTTAAGACCTAGTCTGATCTATCTGAACTTGAAATCTGCCTCTTTCTAATTCCCTTCTGTACCCTGTTCAGAACTACTTTCTGCCAAATTGCGAAACTTCAAATTTGATGATCATGTGTGTCTTTTTCATAGCACTTAAAAACTTTCCAGAAGAATTTTAACTTGCATAGCTCAAAACACCTGTAGTGTAGGCCAATAAATTGATAAACTTAAAAAAATGAAGGGATAAAATGGAAGACAGAAAAAATCATTCTAAGCAATGGTAAGGAACAGAAAGACAATGATGAGTATAACAATTTATGGTAAGTATAGCAACAATTTACCACATGTGATCAATTTATGAGGCCTTATGAAGGTTTCTCAGCACATCACCTGATGAGACGACTAATAAATATCCTGAGTCCAAGATGTTCTACATAATTAACCCTCTTGGGAAAGAACAAGAACGCGGGGAAAATCGCAAGGAAGAAATTTACAAATGACATGCATGTGGAATGAGGGAGGGATGTTATGTAGGTTACGAGGATGACACACTGGCATGCGAAAGGTTTCAGGGAGCCACCAGCTCCTTGCAGCACCGAGGTCGTGGTTGTTTACACCATGTCGCCTGGAAAAAAGCCGGCAAGCTTCAAATGGACTATTAAGTTTATAATATTGAAGGGAAAGATGGGGAACGCAACTGAACATCTGGATGAGCAGATCGCCGCCTGGGCCCCGGGGCAGCTGACCGGACCAGATCATTCTCCCGTGTGGTCTATGCGCACAAAGAACCAGCTGCTTTAGGTCAGTCCTCCGCCTCCTGCTACCCCAATTACCGTGGCCTTAATTTCAAGATAGCTAAGGCCAAAAGATGGGGTGAAGGGAGCGGAGGTGCCTCGGGAAGGGTCAGCGCCTGCGCCCCAGAGGAGGCTGACCTCCCAGCTCGGGCCCGGGATGGCACGACCACAGGAACTCGGGGCCCGCAGCCGCGCCTCCGCAGCCGGATTCAGAGCGCGGCGCCTCCTTCCTTCCCCTGCTGCTCCACCACCACCTCCGTCTCAGTCTCCGCCGTCACCAACACCGCCCCCCCTCAGGCCCCTCACAGCAGCTCAGCCTAGAGCCAGCTACCTCGCGGCGGAATCTCTCCCCACCTCGCCCTTGCTTTCGCGGGCCCTTTTAGGGAGCTTTCCCCGCTCCTTCCACTCTCCAGCGCGCTGAAGCCCCCTGCCCCAGAGCTCGGCTTTGCTACCTGAATCCGTTTCTTGTGTCTCCTGCGTTCCGCCATGTTGGCCGCTCCGCCCGATTCCTTCTGACGTGGAGCGAGGAGGGGGCGGTGGAAACCTCGCGAGAGCGCGCCTCGAGACCCGTTATGTAACCCGCCGGCTGGCGCCTGGGGAAGCGGGTGGTCGACCGCCCGGCTGGATCTGCGCTCTGCGCTGGCTGGAGGTTCCTGCTCTCCCGTTCCCTTCGCTTCTGTTGTGCGGGAACTGGAGAATCGTTAGGACCAGGAGGAAGCAGAGAAGTGGATCAGAGAACAGGAGGGCTGGGAAGAGCCCTGGTGTCTCAAACCTGACTGAGTATCTGAATCACCTGAGAAGCTACGAAAATGCAGATTCCCCGACCCCACCCCCTCAGAGTCACAGTCTGCGCGTTTAGGGTGCGGCCTTCCTCAGAGGGATCGATTGAGACCTACCGAATCCTAGAAGCCTTTACCTGAGGCAGTTCCTGCAATATACTGTGAATTTCATGACATTCCATGTAAAAGATGACAAGACCGAGACCGTAGAGCGCCAGAGATATGAACTGACTTATCTAAGGCTCCACAGGTGGTAGATGGCAGGGCTGAGACCTGAGCCAATTATCTTTTCCCGTGCAATGTGCGGGGTTTTAAACAAGCTGGAGTCACCATTCCATTTTCCGCCTTGCTTCTCACAACTCACCGTTAGAATCCAGATGTTAGAGAACCCAGGGAAGTGTAAGGAAGATGAATAGGAAAAAGATTCTGCGGCGTGTGCCTGTAATCCCAGCTACTCCGGAGGCTGAGGCAGGAGAATGGCCTGAACCCAGGAGGCGGAGGTTGCGGTGAGCCGAGATCGCGCCATTGCACTCCAGCCTGGGTAACAAGAGCGAAACTCCGTCTCAAAAAAAAAAAAAAAAAAAAAGATTCTAAGAAGGTGGGAAGGAAGAAGACTGCAGTCTATTTCAAGTCTGGCGACTGTCAATTATTGTAGCCTTTGTTGTTATTTTAGAGCCACCTAGACCAAAGAGAAGGAGCTTAAATTGCTGGTTAAGTGCTTAGATAGAAATTCCCATGACTGACTTTATGGAGATCTTTAAAAGTTCTTAATTGAAGAAAATTGGGAAGATTCAGAAAAGAAAGATGTGTTTTCTTTCCTTTGTTCCTCTTTCTCTCTTTTTCCTTCTTTTCTTTCTTTCTTTCTCTCTCTTTCTTCCTTCCTTCCTTCCTTCCTTCCTTCTCTTTCTCTCTCTCTTTCTTTCTCTCTCTCCTTTCTTTCCTTCCTTCCCTCCCTCCCTCCCTCCTCCTTCTTCCTTCCTTCCTTCCTTCCTTCCTTCCTTCCTTCCTTTCTTTTCTTTTCTTTCTCTTTCTCTTTCTCTTCTTTCTTTCGACCGAATCATGCTCTATATTGCCCAAGCTGGAGTGCTGTGGCACCATCTCGGCTCACTGAGTCACCCAACTCCTGGTCTCAACTGATATCCCTCCTTAGTCTCCTGAGTAGCTGGGACTACAGGCATGCACCAGCACACCTGACTAATTTTTATTTTTTTGTGTGTGGAGACGGAATTTCCTTATGCTGCCCAGGCTGGTCTTGAACTCATGGACTCAAATGATCCACCTGTCTCTGGCTCCTGAGTAACTGGGACTACAGGCGTGAGCCACTGTGACTGCAGTTTATTTTCTTATAGTATTTATTCCGACTTTATGTGTGTGGGTGTGTGTATTTATATTTTTCCTGTTTCTGAAATTGAGATCATATGCAATATAGCAGCTGCTTTCTTCACTTAATATTAGGTTATAAGCATTTATTATACCATTAAAATTTTTTCCAGGTTTCCCGTATTGTATATCTAACCTAAGAGCAATTAAATGTGTTAGTAAGGCATATTGCAGCATCTTGATGCCTAATTTTTTAATAAAGTAAGATTGTTGGAGTTTTTTTTTTTTTTGACTATGCAGTTCTGGTCATTTAATTCCTTTCTCCTCTATAATCTATAATTTGGGTGTGTGTATAGTCAGAGATGGGGTGGGGAATAAGTAATTATTCTTACCAATTAACCCAAAACATAATATAGAATATGAAATATCTTTATTTCCTTCAATCCCTCTACCCACCCATAACGATGAGTCTGTATTGTGCTGTTTTATTTGGAGAACACCAGACCATTTTATAGGAGACTTGGTCTATGAATGAAAATATTATTGCATTCAGTGGGTATTGAGTGCCTTACTAGATAGATGTCAAATGTCAGGTTAGGACTATGGTGGGGAATAAAAATCCTTTATGGACAATGGCTCACCCTCAGATTACTGCCCTACTATTGTCTTCATCAGCAGAGCTTTAATTTAGTGTCACCCTTTTCTCACTGTCATTCACTCCTTATTTAGACTACAATTTGGTTTCTACCTCCACCTTCCAGTAAGAATTATTTTGTTAAACCCAATACCTTCTTTTAGCAAGCATCTTACTCAGTATTTGACAGTTCTGACTGTTCTTCTTGACTTATTTTTCTTCTTTGACATGTGTATCAACTTCTGATTTCTCATTGGGTTCTCTCCTTTTATCCAGTTCTCACGTGTTCCTGGCCATTGTTTTTATATGTTCACCTTCCTCTTGTCTCTTCTATTTGCGCATTCTGTTTACAGATTAATTCCAAAATACTGCATTCATGTTTATTTCCAGATTTCTTCTGGATATTTCCACTGGATGCCCAACTAAAAATCACCATTTCCCCAGCAAAACCTGATCCTTTTACTGTAAAACTCTAACAACTGCATTTTTGTTTACTCCATTGCTCATGTTAGAAACCTTGGATGTATCCCAACTATGCCTTTTGCCAGTCGGTTACCAATCCTGTTGATTCTACAGCTGAGATGTTTGGAATTCTTCCCTCCATCATCATTCCCAATGCCATTGCCTTGTTGAAGTCTTTATCATTACCTGTGTGAACTAGTATTGCAGTGGCCTCCTAATTGTTCTCAATTCTATGCTCTTGACACTCTAGACCTTCTGCTCCCTTGTTAAAAACCCATGACTCCCCATTGTGTATAGCAGCAGGAATGATGGCTTATGTTCACACACATCACCTCAGATTTCTGGGTCTCCTTTCCATTTAATATTTATGTAAAAATAGTTAAGATCCTCTTCCCAGCACACCATCGATGGTGGTAGTAAGGAGTTTCTCCTACCCACTTCTGGTTCCAACTTACTTTTGAATTTACAACTTTACTCCTATCATTCATTTGACTGTTGTTTCTCTCCGAAATGAGGAGTTTTTGTTCTTTGTTTTGTTTTTTGGAGACAGGGTCTTGCTCTGTTGCCTAGGCTGCAGTGCAGTGGTGCAATCTCGGCTCATTGCAACCTCCACCTCCTGGGCTTAAGGGATTCCCCCCCACCTCAACCTCCTGAAGAGCTGGAACCACAGGTTACACCACCACGCACCACCTGAATTTTTAAATTTTTTGTAAAAATGAGTTTCTTCTTGTTGCCCAGGCTGGTCTTGAACTCCTGGGCTCAAGCAGTCTGCCTGCCTCAGCCTCTCAAAGTGCTGTGACTACAGGCCTGAGCCACCCTACTGTTCTTTCTTCTACCAAAACAAAACTATTAGTTACAAGAGACTTTACTGGAGGTTTTTGAGGAAATGAGTTGTATTCATTCATTAAACAAATGTTTATTGAGGGCTTATTATATGCCAGTCCTTGTTCTCGGCACTGAGGATATACTAGTGATCAAGAGGCAAACATCCTGCTCTTGTGGAGCTTATATTTTGGGAAGAACAGAAGAGACTGTAAAACACAGGAAAGCAAATTATATGGTACAGTCGTCCCTCAGTATCAGCTGGGGATTAATTCCAGGACCCCTGTCAAAATCTGGAACAGTGAATGACAGTGAATAAATCTGGATTAGTTCTAGATTTTTGATACCCAAATCTGCAGATGCTTAAGTCCCACATGTGAAATGATACAGTATTTGCATATAACCTATGCACATTCTCTCGTATATGTTAGATCATCTCTAGATTACTTACAGTACCTAATACAACGTAGATGCTATGTAACTTGTTTTTATACTATATAACTTTAAAATTTGTATTATTTTTATTGTGGCATTATTATTTTCTGTTTTTTTCCCAAGTATTTTCAATTGGTTGAATCAGCAGATCTGGACCCTCGGATAGGAAGGGCCCACTGTATGTTGAAAGCCTTAGGAGAGAAACAAAGCAGGGTAAAGGGACTGCTTGTAGTGGGAAGGAGGGTGTAATTGTAGCTTAAATGGTCAGGGCAGTCCTCTTTGAGGAGATTCTCTTTGACCAAAAAAGGCATGAAGGAGAAGAGGAAGCAAGTCCAGTGCATATCCTAGGGAATTGCACTTAAGGTGGACTGAACAGCATTTACAAAAGTCGAGAGGTGGGAGCTTGCAGAAGTGTTTGAAGAACAGTATGGAGGTCAGTGGCTGAAGCAGATTCAAAAGAGGAAAGAGAGTAGGGGATAAGATCATAAGGGAAATGGGGCTAGACTGCATAGGGTTTTGTAGGCCATTGTAATAACTTTGGCTTTTGAGTAAAATGAGGGCTTTCAGAAGTGCCAAACTGGATTAGGGTTAGAAGAATGACATAAAATGGCTTCTATTTAGAAAGGATTCTGACTGCTGTGTTGTGAATAGATTGTGAGAAGAGGTGGAGATATAGAAGTAGGGACTTAGTAGGTTATTGCAGCAAACAGGCGAGAGATGATGGTGGCTTAGACTTGGCTTAGTCCTGTGTTTGCTATTGGACGTTCTTGGATTCTGGTTATATTTTGAAGGTAGAGTTAATGAGATTCTGAATATGAGGGAAAGAGAGGAATCAAGCCTAACTCTAAGATTTTTGGTTTGACCAACCAGAAGGATGGAATTTTACTTACTAAAATGAGAAACATGAATGAAAGAAGTTTGGTACAAGAATAGGAATTTAGTTTTTGGTGTGTTAATGTGAAGAAGCCTAATGGACATCCAAGTGGAAATGTGGAATGTACAGCCAACTATATGAGAAGTAGAGGTCAAGGGAGAAGTCTTGGCTGGAGGTTTGGAAGTTGAATGAGATCAGAATATGTCACCCTGAATATGCCTCTTTGGCATAAGGATAATTTTGATCTGAAGGCAATTGAGAAAAACGGACACAGGAAGAGCTCTCTGCCTTTATCTGCCTAGAAGCAGAGCATAATTTCTCACAAAGGAGTCCCCATTCTTCTCCCACACCAAGACAAGGAAAATAACCCTTATCACTAGAAATGGAGACAGCACCAAGATGAGTCTGCACAAAGAAACCTTACTGTAATCCTTATCCACCATTAGTTTCCCCTATATTTTTATATTCTCACAGTTGACCACTTCTGTAAGCCCAAGCCCCATTTCCTTTATGTAGTTACTTCTCCTAAATTTATTGTCCTTTGTTAAGATGGTATATAAGCTCCAAAGTCTAATCGCTTCTTTGATTTTTCATCTCTTTTCCATGAAGCCCTCATAAATGGTAAAAATATTAACATCAAATCAAATTGGTATGCTTTTCTTCTGTTAATCTGTCTTTTGTCAGTTTAATTCATAGGCCTCAGGTACAGAATCTAACAGGGTAGGGAAATGTTTTTCTTCCCCTACAGAGTTATCAGTGCATAGATGTTATTTAAGTCCAAGAACCTGAGGGATCACTTGCCTTCTCCCACTCTCCAGGACATCTCAGAGGCTTCTGCTTTTCTTCTCACCTCTGTAATCCTTTCTTCTCAATCTTTCTTGCTCGGTTCTCCACTTCCACTCTTCTTCTTCCCAGTGTTACAGAGTGTCGATGGCTTTCCTATCTCTTTATATGCTTTAATCCATAACATAGAGACACAACTTAAATAAGAATTATTAGGTACTGATATCTAGGAGTTACTGGCAATCCCTGTAGGCCCACCTCATGTCCTTTCCTACTGTTCCTGGCTACTTTTCTAGAGGGAGTGAAGAAAAGTAGACTACCTGCCTACTTTTCTTCACTCCCTCTAGAATACTTCTCACCCTTCTGAATCTTTTCTCTTTGTCCCTGGGCTCTGTCACTTTTCCCTAGGATTGCCTCTGAAATTCAGATTTTTCCTTGCTTTATACGGTAGACAAATTAGGCTCTTTACTCTCTTTTGGATTTCTTTGTACACATTTTTGTAAATTAAGAAATTCATTAGCATGTTGTGCTAAACAAAGCATTCTCCAATCTAGATCTCTCTCTGGAGGACTGATGAATAGGTAGGAATTTGAAAAAGTCAGTTTCCTGGGGACTTCCATCTCAGTAAGTGAAAGGGAATAATATAGAAATGTATATTGATCAGACTTATGCAAACTGGAAGCTGATAGGTTTAGCTTTTTTGTTCTAATTAATACTTTC